CATCAGCTTAACACAAGCTGCTCCCCATGGTCTGGCTTGACCAATGTGTCTGAGAATTAAATTTTCTATAGTATTGGTTCGCGGTCTGCTCATTCATTTTTATATATATAATTTTATGTATACATACATACTCTAAAAATATAGTATTGTTATATTTTCCACGTCTTATTGAAAGAAAAAAATATTTAACCTTACTAATGTAAAGTGCAATAATCAAACTGAATCTTGGAGGAGGATTAGATTCTTCAGCTTGACTTAAGGTAGAAAATATGGAAAAGAGAGTATGATGTGTTAAAAAAAATATATATATACATATGCATATATCATATTAATATTTACATAATATAAATCAATCAAAATATCAGAAAACAGAAAATTGACAAAAGGTGTATATAATTAAACTCCAATGTTCAAAGCATCATCAACTATCTCTAATTTTTCACAAAACATAGAGTAGGGATTTAGGGTTTAACCATCCTCATACATACATACATACATACATATATATATATATATATATGGGACTAACAACTCTCCTAGTCGTCACATATATTATAAGCTACAGCTGCAAGTTTGATCATGCTAATTTCAACAGTAAAACGACTAATTGAGAAAATCCTAGTTGACCATCAACAATGGTGCGGACTCTGAAAAGGAAACAAACTTTTTATTTATACACATATATATTTTTGAATTATAGTTAAGCTAGCTAGTTCTTCTTTTCCATGTCGGAAAGACCATTTGGAGCAGAAGAGCTCTTTCCCCAGTTCGCAAGCTCCATCAGAAAATTCATCACCTCATCTGTGTCCTGCAGCGAGTATAAAGCATTGGTTTCTTTTGGAGTTGAGGAGACGACTATGGGATAACCTCGTCCGATGCTTTTTATAACCTATAATTATCAAACACCAATTCATTTAATAATAATAATAATAAATATTAATTATTTAGCAAAATTTTGTAAAAATATTATATAAAACAAATAAAATTACCTTAAAAGCATCTTCATCAGTTTTGTCATCCCCTATGTACATTGGGAGAAAGTCCGTTGAGTTGCCGAACCCTAAAGTATCAAGTAAATAATCCAAAGCGCGACCTTTGTCCCAATCAATCATTGGACGCACCTCCACTACCTATGTATATATACAGAGAATACTGTTATATATATAATGTAAACTTATTTGAGAATTAACCAAGTTTGAAAATATAAAAATAGGTATTAATTAATTGATTGATTGATTACTTAATTAATCAATCAAAAGAGTCAAAATATTTTTGAAGTACCTTTTTACCCTCACTTCTGCAGAAGTTTGGATAAGCATCCATAGTAGATTTCACAATCTCTTTCAAGTTGTCCACCTCCTGAAATTTTTTAAGATCTATTAAAATCAATATATAAAGAATTTGATTAAGCCATATTTTAAGCATGTATATTGATAGGTTTTTTAAGCGATGAAACTAAAATATAGCTCATGTTTTACCTCTTGGTGTACACGACGGTAGTGCACAGAAATGCAAAACTTGTTGTCTTCAATACTAGCTCCTTTTATGTCTTTGATTTTTTCTTGTAAGACCTCCTTGATCTGTACAATATACATGAATGTATCACTGTATATAACAAGAATAAATATATATTAACTGAAACATCTATAATCTACCAATATGCAAAATGCTATTACTTATAAGTGATGATATATATGTAATACCTCTTGAATTTTTGGGAGAAAATCGTGTGCTGGTTGAAAGTTGAAAACTTCGTTACCCTGTAAAATAAAAGTGATCACCATATACATATATATATATATATATATATATGTCAAGTCAAGTTAATAATATGCTAAAATATTAATGTCGTAATGCAAGGAATGTAAATGAAGTAAAGAAAAAATTATACAAAGTAGTAAACCTTTTCATTGACAGTTTTAGTTTGATTCTTATCATCTCCATACTTCAGAGAGCCTGACGGAGTTGATATATCCATTCCATGACTACCAGCATATATCACATTATCCAGTTGAACGAATCCCTTTACCTATAAATGAAATTTAACAGAATTAAGTATGATAAATACATATATATATACATAAACATATACATACGACGTACATACATACATATACATTAACATATAACATTATGTTTAATGAATTCACCTTCGCCAGGCTTCTTCCGCTAACAATGGCAGTAGGAAAGATTTTAGCAATTTCATGCACTGCAATACGCATCTGTATATATATATATATATATGTTTCAGTTCACAAGACTTAACTTACTAAACTTGCAAAATACTCACAAAACTAGATAATAGAATTTCCATAATCAAATGCATACGACGTAGCTTTTATGATGAAGACATTAGATGCAATTTTTAAGAGTAAGTAAGACATAATATATTAAATAATTTTTTCAAAAACAATTTATTAGTATTGAAAAAAATGAATTAGTAACCAAATATTTACTCATAATAGATAGTAGGTAGAAAATATTTCAAAATATATAAAGGGTATTGCGCATAAACACTGCCTTTCATAAGTACGTCACTTCTAAATATATAATATGGATTATTTTACCCATATATACATATACATATATATATATATATATGCTTGGTTGACTTTATACCTTTTCAAACATGTAAGCTCGATCCGGGTCCTCTACAATAGGCGAAAGGGTTCCATCATAATCCAAAAACACGACTATTTGTTTGTCTTTTGCTTTTTCCATCATCCCTTCAAATGTTGCAATTGCAGATGCATGCTTTTCCTTTAGAAAAATAGTGGCCAACATAAAATTAATTAAACAATTAACTTAGAAGATATATATACATATATATATACACACATATGGATGTGAGTGAGACATGATGAGGTTACCAGCCATGCAATGTAGGACGGTGAAATAGCATCTCCATTTTGGGCCGAGACTAAAATTGAGATATCAGTACTTGTTGGTTTCTGAGACGATGGTTGATAACCCATTTTTTGAACTTCTTCTTTTTTCTCACCTGCAGATCTATTACCTATAATTACTAATTAACTTTCCTAACAAATAAAGGTACAGTAACTATTGGTAATTATGTATAATTAATAATAATTATATCAATAAGCTACAAACATATTCATTATTAAGCAAACCGTTGAGGAATAAACTAAATTTTTAAGAACTGAAAAGCTTATCAGGCCTACTACAAAATTAGGTCAAATTATAGGTGTTCGTACATCAAAAAAGAAAATCCTCATCATACAAAATGAAGTAATGGTTTTGTTTTATACCTGATTGGCCTTCAAAACTCTGCTAGGAAGGGAAACATGGCTTTTACTTCCATAATATACATGTTTATATGTGTAGAGAGAGAGAGAGAGAGAGAGAGAGATATGCACGTGGAGTCCATCAAATTTTTTCATACGAGACTCACGCAAAGTGTGAAGGCGAAAAAAATATATTAAATTTTTTGTAATATATAATGACTATAATACCTTAAAATCCAATTCTTTTTTCCTGACAAATCTAGTTAGATAAACTAGTATGTACTACCTAAATTAAATATTTTGAAGCATTTAATTTTTTTCTTTTTAGCGAATCAACTTGTGTTAAAACCCAAGGTAAATAATTAATTATGTTTTAGAAATTAAGAAAAAAGAAAAAGAAAGTCCGTATGTGAGTACTATAGATTGTGATGTAAAGAACCGTTAAAATACAAGGAGCGAAAAAAGGGTACTATTTCGCATTTGCCCTTCTTATTCCCCAATGGTAGAGTCGTGTTAACGTCACGTGTAGGCTAACAGAGAAGTGGCCACTATTAATTTTTTAAAAAAACTTTTGAACGCGACTGTTCTTATTTTTTTTGTCGCATATGGTTTCTCGATTAGTAAAAATCTATTATTTTTACAGCATGTAGAGTTTTCCTCCTCCACTATCATGTCGGTCTCTAGTCTGGTCACCACAAACAATCGATACATGCTCAACACAGAAGAAATCAATGGAAAAAAACAACATACACGAACACAGATAAAGCCGATCGGATTAAAATCATTAAGTAAAAAAATCAGATCACGTTCGAGAAGTGAATAATCATATATCGAGGAAAAAATCAAATTAAACCAGTAAAACAATTCAAAGAGCAACAAGGAAAAGAAAACAAGTAGATACAAACAGATATGTAGTGCATTGAATAGAGAAATCTAAAAGGATTTGAAGAAGAAAAAATCTAGATATGAAAGTAAAGAGAAATGGGATTTATGAATATGCCACGAATGAGTTGTTGAGGAAGGAGTGAAAGAAAAGTTTACCTTTGGATGGAAAGTTAGTAGGAGAAATTGAAGTAGACTTTGGTGCCTGGAGCGAGTGAATTAAGGAAAATTTGTGAGAAATGATTGAGAGAGCTGGAGGGGTTATTTATAGATCTTAGAGATACAGGTTTTAGCAAAAGTAGTCACATTATGCTCGCCCCTCTTTCAAATATAATAATATAATATTAAATATATTGTTAAAACCCCACCATAAAAAAGAACCTTAATTGGTTTTTATTTGTAATTTTTGTTTGGGCAATTACAATAATACTGAAAGATATTGTTGTTTGTAATTAATTGAAAATAAAAAGAAAAAAGTTATAGAAATAATAAGAAAATTTGATATTGTATCAATCGATCAATCATATGTGTATGAGATGTACAGACAAAAATATCAATCGATCGATTATTAGAATTAGTTACCAAAAATTTCTTAAAGGGCCCATGTATCACAACATTCTACATATGGCTATACGACAAATTCTAAAAATTAATGCATACATGAATATTTAATTATTTGATACGTACGGAGAATGCGAATCATATGTACATAATAGGTACGGACAATAATATCAATCGATGAATTATTAGAAATTAGTAATCAAAGTATCAATTATTTGATAAGCAGTAATAATTACAATTTCAACATTATATATCTAACAATTTCAAATAATTGATTAGAAATAATAAAAATTAAAGCAACACATGATTATTAATGTATGTGCCTACCACAAAATAATTTCTCCTGCATTAAATATGATGCAAATATTGAAATAATATGCTTCCATTTTTGTGTAATTACATTAAATTGCATATCCAATTTTAGAAGATTAATTTCCTCATTAATTACTTGCAAATGAATAGTTAATGATTTATATGGGTTAGTAATTAATAATTCAGAATTAAAGAGTAACTTTCAATTTCATTAAATTCTTGGAAAGCAGTTTCCTCGTGGCACTCCATTTACCTACCCACTTAGCAGTTATACAAAATAAACTTCCACGCTGGATAATAAAAAATTTATTTTATTAGTTTCTTTCTACTTTAAAAAATCAAAAAACGTTAAGGCGGTGGTAGACGCCGGAAAAATGTGTTTCGAGAATAAATTAGTAATTTAAGTGGCCTCGAAGAGTGGACAGAGCTTACACTGCCACGAACATTATTCGTCAGGAGTGTTATAACTTCCGCCGGCCGTTACTTATGTTTGTTATTTGTTGTAATTATTATTATTATGTTTTTTCTTCAGTTAACTTATGTTGTTATTTCATTCGTGGGTCAAAACTTATTAAAAATAATAATTACAATTAAAATCAATTTTAGCTAAAATTAAATTTTGATAAATTTAAATAAAAATATTAAAAATCAGCTTCTACTTTTTTACATTATATATTTTTTATATATGATATATATTATTACATATAACAATCACAATGTTTACATTCTTATTAATGTTTTTTTATAATATAACGTTGTATATTATATATGGTTATATACTAAATTCTTGTAAAATATATGTAATTTCGGTATTTATAACTATTTTAATTTAAAGACAATTGTTTTTGCATCAGTTTGTTCTTCTCTTATATTTTGTTTAGTAATTTTATTATTAACCATTAGTTCTATAAAATATAATTTTTATTCTTTAAAATAATAATACATTTTATAATTATTTTTATCAAACACATAATAATATTTTATTAAAAATATTTTCACTAAAAAAATATTTTAACCGTACTTTACAACTACAACATAAGCTACAAACAATTACATTAAATGCACTTAGTTTTTTTTTTTTTTTAGGATTGCATAAATTATTTATTTAATATAATAAAATAATGCTTCACACATATATAAGTTTACAATTATTATTATATGAAGATTACTAATTATACTAGATACTCCTATCTATTTCTATAAATAAATAACAAATTATCAATGTACTATATAAAACTTCTTCACTGTTTTATATGTTTATTATATATTTGTACAAGTATGTTCATCCTTAGATATTAAAGTATCATAATTTAAGTTTGATCCAATTCGAACTTAGCATCTTCATAACTTCAACTTAGTGTCACCTAGATTATAGGCTCTAATTCTAAATAAAATTATAAAGTCAAAGTGATACAAATATATCTAGAAATTAGGTTATCATCTCTAATTTAAAATAATTTTTATTTGGTCAGTAATAATAACATATGTAGATTTTAGACTCCAACATTGAAATATATACTATGTAGATTTTATGTAATTCGTAACTAGTAAAGGAAATAAAATAAGAAAGTAATAAGGAGGACTGAGAACAAATTAATAGAGATAAGAACATGCAAATAAAGATATATGAGAAGAGTATTAGAATACTTAACAAGTTTTCTTGAACTTATTATATGATTGGAATTACTGTATTTTATTGAGTTTTGTTTGCAAATGTTATAACGTTAGGGTAACTTTTATAAATATTGAAAATATTATTTCCCTCTGTATAAATAGCGAAGCTCCTTATTAATAAAGATTGATCGACATTTTCGTTTTTCAATTCCTCTCATCAGCCTATTTTTCCCTTTGAGCTCTTATTCTTGTTTCAAAAATTTCCTTTACATATTTGGCTAAATCTCTCTAAGTTTTTATTCTAGCTTGCATATTTTTAGTTCCTCAGTAAGTTTATGAAAATTACCATGGTATCAGAGCAATGAAGAGATCTTTTAACTTTATATCAATAAATCTTAGAGTTGCGGATCAGCTTGTTTTGTTCGTTCGTGATCTTCGCAGTAGTAATTTCTTTGAAATTTACAAAAATAAAGATGGAGATGACATTCGTGAACTCATAATCTTCGAAGATTGAAGAGATCCTAGCTAATCGTTTCTATCTTCACTCGAACGAGAGTTCGTCCTTGATGCTCACTTCTGTTGTCTTGACAGGTAACAATTTCTATTCCTAGTCAAGATCGATGCGTATGGCATTAATTTTTAAAAAAGAAGTTAAAGTTTGTGAACGGATCAATTCCTGTTCCGAGCGAGGAAGATTCAAATTATGGAGCGTGCGAGCGTTGTAACACCATTGTTCCGTCCTAGATTATGGGAACACTGTCTCCTTCCATAGCTCAGTCCGTCATTTGAATTGATTATGCGAAGGACCTCTGAAAGGATATCCAGGATAGGTTTTCTCAAGGAGATTTGGTAAGGATTCCTGATCTACAAGAGGAGATTTGTTCATTAAAGCAAGGTATGCATTCCGTAAACAAATATTTTACCCAACTGAAGATTTTATGGGATGAGCTGTTAAATTTTAGACCATTTCCTACATGTGAATATAAACCAAACTGTGCATGTAATGTAGTTGCTGTTACAAAGAGACATCAGGAGGAGGACAAAGTGATTAGGTTTCTTAGAGGGTTCAATGAATCTTTTAATGTTGTATGTTATTTATGTCTATATAAATTGTTTCAATTAAATTCTTATAAATTATATAAATTTCAGCATACTATTTAGTTTCAACATAACAATTTTTATATTAGTTTTATTTTCTTTTTTATATTTTGTTTAGAGATTTCACTATCAACTACTAGTTATATATAAATATAACTTTTGTTTTTTATATTGATATCACATTTTATAATTATTTTTATTTAATACATAATTGTTTTTTATTAAAAAATATTTTATCAATATTTTACAACTCACAACAGAAA